CCAACGTCATTTTAGAGAATTTGGCAGTACATCCAACAGGCCTCACAACTGCAGACCATGTGTAACAACGACAGCCCAGGACCTCCACATCCGGCTTCTTCACCTGCGGGATCGTCTGAGGAGGGGTGCCGAGGAGTATTTCTGTATGTAATAAAGCCAGTTTGTAGGGAAAAACTCATTCTGATTGGCTGGGACTGGCTCCTTAGTGGGTGGACCTGGCTCCCAAGTGGGTAGGCCTATGCCCTCCCAGGCCTGCGCCCCTGCCCAGTCATGTGAAATCCATAGATTAATTTATTTCAATTGAATTCAATTTCCTTCTATGAACTAACTCAGTAAAATCTTTGAAATTGTTGCGTTTATATTTTTGTTCAGTATAAATAAATAGCTAAATTAAGTACAGTCAACTGCAAGGCCTATTCACTATAAATATATATACACATTTCCAGCGCTTGGTATTTGTTTAGCTTCATACTTTGGTTACACCTTATTCCTAGTTACACCTGTCTTTGGCCGTTTTATGTAATTTTAAGCCATTTTGACCCAGGTCAGATTTGTCAGGAAAAAATTGTGAGACATTGATGATAGAATAAATATCTCAGGTTATATTTAACGTCTGAGGCACAACCAAACATGATATTAATCGTTTGTTATATGCAAGGGATACTTTTGACAGTCGTGGCTACAGTTGCAAACATGATTGTAATCCAGCAAACTCGTGCCAGCTGGCAGGACTTTGCGGGGCACCAACCCTGCTAGCTAATAACTGCAAAGATTCGAAACTCACTGCCCCAAGCATAGTTGAAGACGAACATGTGACAATACTTATTTAGCTATCTAGCAAACTGCACTATGCGCCTTTTGTTTGTTAGTAGCAGGTTACTAGAAGGGTTTACTGTATCACGTAGCAGGCGAATAGCTACAGAGGCTAGTAACGTTAAGCCAATTTTGCACACTTGTGGCTCGAGCCCCCTCCACCATTTTCCAGTTTAGGGGAAAACTTTAAAACAAAAAATACTCACCGTAAAATGTCCTTGATTGGGTAACTATTTAAACTGGCTGAAAGGCTAATTTAGTCCTCTTAAAAGTTATTTTACTTGTTTCGTGTGCTCTTTAGCCATCCCAAACCGAAGTTCCCTACCATGTTCGTGGAGAAGATAGCTAACTACACCGATAGTCAGACCAGCAAAACTTGCACCAGCCGTACGGAAACAAACGAACGTAGCCGTAATTTCACGACGTGTTGTATGTAAAGTATGGGATACAGTCTGTAAGATGTGGCATACAGTATACCAATCAAAGAGGGGGCCAACAGCAAATGTAACCATAAAGACATAGGAGTGCATTCATTACAATACAGTTCAAAATATATTCGTAAAACAAAAGACGTGACTATGCGTGTATTCATCAAATGCCATATGGAAACAATTTATTATAAAACAGTTTGGGAACAGCTAGTAAAAACACAAAATAGATCAATCTTGACACTTGCACCAGGGACAGCCCACGCCTCGCTACTCAAACATAAGCAGACCGATGCTGAAAGGCAAAGTCATACGAACCAGCAAAATTGTTAGGATTCCCATCTGAAGCCTCCTATCACAATTTCTCTATTATGAAAGTACACAAGCACTTACTTATTGGCAAATACATTCAACTGTCCAACCCAACCATAGGCATAATAACATCCTAGCCAGCCATCTATTTATTCAATGTTTGCTTTTGTTTGAATAGGGAGCTAGGCCATACAGTGTTAGAACCTAAAAAATAAAAACTAGCCAGACAAAATTGGCTTATACAGTATTTCCATATTCACATAAAATGGAAATTAGCACTGTACCTCCAGTATTTCTAACAAAATCACATATTTAAACAGAAAGAATGAATGTGGACATGTTCTTCCATTTTACCCTGTAAGTGTGCTAGAATGTATACAGGTACCCTTGTCTACAACTAACTGGGTGCCACTGACATTGCTCGTCCTAATATTTATATATTTATTAATTCCATTCTTCTACTTTTAGATGTGTGTGTATTGTGGTGAATTGTTAGATACTACTGCACTGTTGGAGCTAGAAAAACAAGCATTTGGCTACACCCGCAATAACATCTGCTAAATATGTGTATGTGACCAATAACATTTGATTTGAAGTGAGCATAGAGGAGTTAGATAGCAGACAAAATGGCAGTGTCAGAATGAGGGTTAAATGCAAAAGACAAAGCATTGTAGACTGATGTGTAGCCTAACCTTCTAAGCTCACTCCCAGCCTTTGATTAACCACATGCATCCCTCATGACAGGGATCATCAACTAGATTCAGCCGCGGGCCAATTTATTCTTGAGAGGATGGGCCGGAATATAATTCAAAATAATTAGTTGACTGCAAATTGACCGCAAGAAGCCCAAACAGATATAATATTTGACTAAAACAATTATTTCAAACATTGCTTACATTTGTATACGATCACGTCTATTTCTGGTTCAGGGCATGATGAGTAGGAGTGAGAGGAAAGTGCAAAAGTTGACTGTGCACACAATGCTATTAGACACACAGTAAAAACCACAGCATGGGCTATATAAACCCAGAGTATCATGCAATCAAGTATTACGTGTCCTTGTCTCATGCAGCATGCATCCAACAGAAGAGTAACTGCATCCTACAGTATTCCTATAGAACAGTTTTAGGAGGTTTTACAGTTCCAAAAGGTACTTACGTAAAATGATGTAGTGTTGAAATGTGCATACCAATATAATAGCTTCACAGTACATGGTATCAAAGAGTGGTTTCATTAAGTAGAAATACAGGATTACTAAATTATATTTGTTTAAATTGTAAATAACATATTCATTGTAAACAATTCAGACTTTGAGTAAGCATGTCTTGGGTATAACTTCATTTCACCGCCACCGTCTTCTGAGTTTTGAGCAGTTCATCCAATCTGAAAATATGTTGAGGATCTGTTGAGACTTCGACTTTTGATATATACAGAGGGTTAGATAACAGCAAGTACCATTTTTGACAATATCAACCTTCAAAACTACTTTAGTGTATAAAATGGGCCAAAATGATAGTGTTCAACACCGCTAATTAATTACATGCATTGTATTATATGCATTGCAATACTGATGAGATTCCCCAACATGCTTCATCAGAGGCCCATTCTTACAGCCATGGTCGTTCACGTTGCTTGTGCAACAGGTCGGCCATGGGCGTTCACGTTGCTTGTACAACAGGTTGGTTGGTGTAACCCCAAAATATAAATGAAGTACAATAATAATGCATACGGAATTAATAGACTCAGATATCAAAATATATACATAAATACATGTACAGTACAAAGACATAAAACTAGCGTCTGTTAATATCTAAGCCCTGGGATCTGACTGAAGGTATGGGGTGCTCCTTCATTGTTGACTATTCCATACATCGGTAAAAAAATAATAATGTCAAAATTATTTATTTTCCTTAGTGCATTTTACCCCAATGTAAACATCAACACAAAAGCACAAGATGAAATAGGAACGGGTTTCTTACGCATGGACATTTTCACATGCACAACAGTCATTATGCTTAAATCTGCATATTATATGTAGATACGGTCAAAGGCTGTATCGAGGATAATTGAAAATATGCAAGCGGCTCCTGTGAAAGCTTAAACGGTTTCTCTTTAGCTTGGTGGTATCACCTGGACAACTGTATTCCTTGAGGTAGCCTAAAACAGGGTTAAGAGCAAAACTATCTGTGCCTTATCAAAACAATATCCTGTCAACAATTGCCTGTGTGACAGCGATGAGGTAACAGTATTTGATAAGAACAAAGTTCCATGCTTTAGTAGTACAAGCATTGACAGCAAGCTCAAATTGCCATGCTACACCAATGTTCAACTGATTTAAGTCCACCATGATTTCAGCAAAACCAAGGGGTAAACCCTGTTGCCATGAGAATCAGTACAGGAACCCAATAGAACAACATGTCAGGATGAACGAACATGACAATGAGGTTATGACAGAATATTGTGCAATATAATTAACAGGTTTTAAAACTAACTAGTTGCTGAATTTCATGTGAAATACTTGCTTTCATTTCTATGGTAGCTTAGATTTGAAGAAATACCCTCTGTTTGAGATTTGCATAAAATTGCTTTGAAATATACACTATATTTGTAAAGGGGACTACATTTTCCTGCTACTGTCAAGCCTGCCAACAAGGAAATAACATCTATTTGTCAAACAAAAAAGGCCATCAGTTCATAAGATATGGCTTAAAAGAACAAAAACCAAACAAATAAATAGTGAGCGTAGTCTTCACATCAACTAAGAACTGACCTAAGTAGTTCATATAAGAATTGCCCTGCAGTTTTGTACGATTCAAAATATACTTCAAAACTGTAGTCTCAGCTTCCAAGCCTAAATCAAAACAACTTTCAAATTATGTGGTAATCTGTAGAAATTAAGATTTATACATTACTACTTTCCATTTATGAATGCGGATAAATTGTCAAAAACTTTCCTCTCCAAAAACGACTTACTTCTGTGAACTTCCTACCATTATCAACTACTCTGTACCATGTTTAAAAATAGACATTCCTAGAAAAATCATGTCAATAGAAAATAGAAATGTGTCTATGGATACAAAACATGATTTAATCTTGGCTAGTCACTATCAATTGAACACTTTCCTTTTTTGGCCCCATTGTAAATCCTATTAGCTTAAAAGTAATAAATAAGCCCAGGAAATAAAGTGAAGTCTATTTCCTAGTGTTACATATTTCCGAAACTAAATCTTGAATCAAGTGAAATCTACAAAACAAAATCAATGTGGCGAAATACTCTTTCGCCCAAACATTTCCTTCCTTCAGCAATGAGTATCAAGGTGCTTCCTTGGAAGAAATGACTCTATAAAATGAGTCAAGGAAATGTCACTTCCTTAGCTTCCCTTTCTGGGGGCTAGAGTCTACTGCGGTATCCCCAACTTGATCCGAGGCAGGCCTTTCTTTGTGCAAAGCAGCTGTCTCTTCTGGTGCCTTACTGGAGATTTCTACCATGAGAAAGACATCCTTGCTCGGCTGTTGTGGTCCAATGTTGGAATCGGTAGATTCAGCCTCCTGCCTCTCGTCGTCCTCCTCCTCTCCGTCTGAGCACGGCTCCCAGACGTCCTGGTCCACGCTCTCCATCGAGCCCTGCACAGCGATCTGAGGCACCTGGATGAAACGTTTCACCACAGTCACCTCCTCGCTGGTTTGGGAAATGGCCGACCAGGAGGCCGCCCGCTGCGGGAGCCGATTGCCTCCAGGGGCGTTGAGCGTCGCAGTGAGCGTGGGGATGGTCTTCTGGTCGTCGGGCTCGTCAAAGCTCACCTCCTGCACCGCCTCCTGCTTCTTGAAGGAGTCGCGGCGCTCCGACAGGTTGAGCTTCCTCATCACCACCAGCTGCTCTGAGCGTTCCGTCGCCCAGTCCCTCAGCCTCTGGCAGCCCCCGTACCCCCCCTGCAGCCTCCCGTGGTCCCCGAGGTAGGAGACCCCTCCGCTGCAGACCCCCTCCACCTCCTCCCCCTCATCCTGGAAAGGCACCTCCAACGTGTGCCTTCGGTGGGGGTACGACTTCTTGTCGGTGTGGTAGGCGCTCGAGAGCCTCTCAGCCGACTGCACCCTCTTGAGGAGGGGGGAGCGGGGAGGCTCGGCGCTGCGGGGGCGCACACAATGGCGGACGATGGTGGGGGGGGACAGAGTCTTGCCGTGGAAGGTATTGGTGATGCCAGGAAGGGGGGAGGGGGAGCGCTGGGGCGACAGGGGCTGGGTGGAAGAGTTGCAGGCCAGGGGGGACGGGGGGATGCTGCTGGTGGACTTGCGGCGACCCACCTTGGTGTAATGCTGAGTGACCAGCTTGGAGCCCAAGCCGTGCAGGGAGCTGGGCCGGATGTGTGCAGCTGGGGAGCTGGGAGAGCTGGAGCTGGGAGAAGTGCTCTGTGGAGAGTTGGTGTCTGAGGGAGAGGTAAATACAGAGTAAGATAACCTGATTAAAACCACCAGCTTATAGTCCACCTCAACGGGGCTATTGCACTGTCATTAACAATAAAATGGACAAAGACATATTGCAAGCAAAATTGGGAGATAAAAGCTTACGTTACTAGTAACAGTAGCAGTACTAGTAGTAGCCTTAGTAATACAGTAGTGACTGTAGCCGTAGTAGTAGTAGTAGTAGTAGTAGTAGTAGTAGTAGCAGTAGTAGTAGTAGCAGTAGTAGTAGTAATAATAGACGCAGTAGTAGTAGCAGCAGTAGTAGCAGTAGTAGAAGTAGTAATAATAGAAGCAGTAGCAGTAGTAGAAGTAGTAATAATAGAAGCAGTAGTAGTAATAGTAGTAGTAGTAGTAATAGTAGTAGCAGCAGCAGTAGTAGTAGTAGTAGTAGCAGCAGCAGCAGTAGTAGTAGTAATAGTAGTAGCAGCAGCAGTAGTAGTAGTAGTAGTAGCAGCAGCAGCAGCAGTAGTAGTAGTAATAGTAGTAGCAGTAGTAGTAGCAGCAGCAGTAGTAATAGAAGCAGTAGTAGTAGTAATAATAGAAGCAGTAGTAGTAGTAGCAGCAGTAGTAGCAGTAATAGTAGTAGTAGTAGTAGCAGCAGTAGTAGCAGTAATAGTAGTAGTAGTAGTAGTAGCAGCAGTAGTAGCAGCAGTAGTAGCAGTAATAGTAGTAGCAGCAGCAGTAGTATTAGTAATAATAGTAGCAGCAGTAGTAGTAGTAGTAGTAGTAGTAGTAGTAGTATTCTTCTTTAAAAAATATATATAGAACCTTTATTTAACTAGGCAAGTCAATTAATATCAAATTCTTATTTACAATAACGGCCTACCAAGAGGTAAAAGGCCTCTTGTGGGAACGGGGGCTGGGATTAGAAATAAAAATGTAGGACAAAACACACGTCATGACAAGAGAGTCACCACAACACTACATAAAGAGAGACCTAAGACAACACAACATTGTAGCAACACAACATGGCAGCAACACAACATGGTAGCAGAAACATTGTGCCTAACTATGTTTGTACCGACAACAGCACGAAGGACAAAAAGGAAGAGACAACAATATATCACGCGAAACAAACACAAGTAGTAGTAGTAGCAGTAGTAGTAGTAGTAGTAACAGAGTAGTAGTAGTAGTAGTGGTAATAGTAGTAGTAATAGTAACAGGGTAGTAGTAATAGTAACAGTAGTAGTAGTAGGCTAGTAATCATAATCATAGTGGTAGCAGCAGTAGTCACAGTAACAGTGCTAGTAGCTCCTGAGTGGCGCAGCGGTCTAAGGAACTGCATCTCAACGCTAGAGATGTCACTACAGACCCTGGTTCGATTCCAGGCTTTATCACAATTAGGCCGTGATTGGGAGTCCCATAGGGCGGCGCACAATTGGCCCGGCATCGTCCGGCTTTGGCCGGGGTAGGCCATCATTGTAAATAAGAATTTGTTCTTAACTGACTTGCCTAGTTAAATAAAAGGTTAAATAAAAAACAGTGCTGCCTGGGCCTGGTGTTACCTCCAGCCTGGTGGTGAGGGGCAGGGCTGTGACAGGGGGTGGAGGGGCCGGGTGACAGGCTGTGTGTGGGGGAGCCTGGCAGGCTCTCGCTGGATGACACAGAGTGGTGCTGCAGTCCAGAGTTGAAGCTGCGGCTGCTGTGCATCACCGTGCTCTGCTTGGACAGCTTCTTCAGGATGCTCCGCCGCCTGGGATAGTTAGTGGTTACAGAGAGTTATAAAGGGGTTGTGAAGGGGTTTGAAGGGTAACAAGTCGCATAACATTTATTATTTATAGTATGTGATTCACAGAGGTTTTTTTCTGCAAAACAAATTTCCTTATTGAGTATAATATTGTTTTCTAATCGAACTGGTTGCATAATAATATCGGGGATATTGAGGCTGATGACAGTAGAGCAATAGAAATAAAACATAGAAGTAAAAAATTATAGAGAATACTCTGTGCATTAAGGACGTCTTCTACAGTATAACTTAAGTTTCTTAACTTAAAGTCAAGGCTTAGATGTATAACTCCATTTTGAAAAAGGACAACACTGCTGAGGTATAGTTTGTTATCATCCATCCATGCAGTTGTGTGCAGCGATCTCTATCGAACACTGGGGGGAGACAGAATAGGGACTTTTGCAGAATAACTCTTGCTGGATGTATTTACACTGAACAAAAATATAACCAACATGCAACAATTTCAACGATTTGACTGAGATACAGTTTATATAAGGAAATCAGTCAATTGAAATAAATTCATTAGGCCCTAACCTATGGATTTCACATGACTGGGAATACAGATATGACTCTGTTGGTCACAGATACCTTAAAAGAAAAGAAGTAGGGGCGTGGATCAGAAAACCAGTCAGTATCTGGTGTGACCACCATTTGCCTCATGCAGCGCGACACATCTCCTTCGCATAGAGTTGATCAGGCTGTTGATTGTGGAATGTTGTCCCACTCCTCTTCAATGGCTGTGCGAAGTTGCTGGATATTGGCGGGAACTAGAACACGCTGTCGTACACGTCGATCCAGAGCATCCCAAACATGCTCAATGAGTGACATGTCTGGTGAGTATTCAGGCCATGGATGAACTGGGAAATGTTCAGGTTCCAGGAATTGTGTACAAATCCTTGCGACATGGGGCCGTGCATTATCATGCTGAAACATGAGGTGATGGCGGCGGATGAATGACACGACAATGTCCCGTGTAGCTCAGTTGGTAGAGCATGGCGCTTGCAACGCCAGGGTTGTGGGTTTGTTTCCCACGGGGGACCAGTATGAAAAAAATATATACAGTGGGGAGAACAAGTATTTGATACACTGCCGATTTTGCAGGTTTTCCTACTTACAAAGCATGTAGAGGTCTGTAATCTTTATCATAGGTACACTTCAACTGTGAGAGACGGAATCTAAAACAAAAATCCAGAAAATCACATTGTATGATTTTTAAGTAATTAATTTGCATTTTATTGCATGACATAAGTATTTCATACATCAGAAAAGCAGAACTTAATATTTGGTACAGAAACCTTTGTTTGCAATTACAGAGATCATACGTTTCCTGTAGGTCTTGACCAGGTTTGCACACACTGCAGCAGGGATTTTGGCCCACTCCTCCATACAGACCTTCTCCAGATCCTTCAGGTTTCGGGGCTGTTGCTGGGCAATACGGACTTTCAGCTCCCTCCAAAGATTTTCTATTGGGTTCAGGTCTGGAGACTGGCTAGGCCACTCCAGGACCTTGAGATGCTTCTTACAGAGCCACTCCTTAGTTGCCCTGGCTGTGTGTTTCGGGTCGTTGTCATGCTGGAAGACCCAGCCACGACCCATCTTCAATGCTCTTACTGAGGGAAGGAGGTTGTTGGCCAAGATCTTGCGATACATGGCCCCATCCATCCTCCCCTCAATACGGTGCAGTCGTCCTGTCCCCTTTGCAGAAAAGCATCCCCAAAGAATGATGTTTCCACCTCCATGCTTCACGGTTGGGATGTTGTTCTTGGGGTTGTACTCATCCTTCTTCTTCCTCCATACACGGCGAGTGGAGTTTAGACCAAAAAGCTATATTTTTGTCTCATCAGACCACATGACCTTCTCCCATTTCTCCTCTGGATCATCCAGATGGTCATTGGCAAACTTCAGACGGGCCTGGACATGCGCTGGCTTGAGCAGGGGGACCTTGCGTGCGCTGCAGGATTTTAATCCATGACGCCGTAGTGTGTTACCAATGGTTTTCTTTGAGACTGTGGTCCCAGCTCTCTTCAGGTCATTGACCAGGTCCTGCCGTGTAGTTCTGGGCTGATCCATCACCTTCCTCATGGTCATTGATGCCCCACGAGGTGAGATCTTGCATGGCGCCCCAGACCGAGGGTGATTGACCGTCATCTTGAACTTCTTCCATTTTCTAATAATTGCGCCAACAGTTGTTGCCTTCTCACCAAGCTGCTTGCCTATTGTCCTGTAGCCCATCCCAGCCTTGTGCAGGTCTACAATTTTATCCCTGATGTCCTTACACAGCTCTCTGATCTTGACCATTGTGGAGAGGTTGGAGTCTGTTTGATTGAGTGTGTGGACAGGTGTCTTTTATACAGGTAACGAGTTCAAACAGGTGCAGTTAATACAGGTAATGAGTGGAGAACAGGAGGGCTTCTTAAAGAAAAACGAACAGGTCTGTGAGAGCCGGAATTCTTACTGGTTGGTAGGTGATCAAATACTTATGTCATGCAATAAAATGCAAATTAATTACTTAAAAATCATACAATGTGATTTTCTGGATTTTTGTTTTAGATTCCGTCTCTCACAGTTGAAGTGTACCTATGATAAAGATTACAGACCTCTACATGCTTTGTAAGTAGGAAAACCTGCAAAATCGGCAGTGTATCAAATACTTGTTCTCCCCACTGTATGTATGCACTCACTAACTGTAAGTCGCTCTGGATAAGAGCGTCTGCTAAATGACTAAAATGTCAAATGTAATGTGCCTCAGGATCTCGTCCCGGTATCTCTGTGGATTGAAATTGCCATCGATAAAATGCTATTGTGTTCGTTGTCCGTAGCTTATACCTGCCCATACCATAACCCCACCGCCACCATAGGGAACTCTGTTCACAATGTTGACATCAGCAAACCGCTCGCCCACACGATGCCATCAAATTAAATTAAATTAGATTTGTAACATGCGCCGAATACAACAGCTGTAGACCTTACCGTGAAATACTTACTTAGAAGCCCCTTAACCAACAATGCAGTTCAAGAAATAGAGTTAAGAAAATATTTACTAATTAACAAAATACGAGGCTATATACAGGGGGTACCGGTACCGAGACAATGTGCAGGGGTAAAGGTTAGTCGAGGTAATTTGTACATGTAGGTAGGTAAAGTGACTATGCATTGATAATAAACAGCGAGTAGCTATACGGGGGGGGGGGGGGTCAATGTAAATAGTCCGGGTGGCCATTTTATTAATTGTTCAGCAGTCTTATGGCTTGGGGGTAGAAGCTGTTAAGGAGCCTTTTGGTCCTAGACTTCGCCCTCGGGTACCGCTTGCCGTGCGGTAGCAGAGAGAACAGTCTATGACTTTCGTGACTGGAATCTTTGACAATTTTTTGTGCCTTCCTCTGACACAGCCTAGTATATAGGTCCTGGATGGCAGGAAGCTTTGCCCCAGTGATGTACTGGGCCGTGCGCACTACCTTCTGTAGCGCCTTAAGGTCGGATGCCGAGCAGTTGCCATACCAGGCGGTGATGCAACCAGTCAGGATGCTCTCGATGGTGCAGCAGTATAACTTTTTGAGGATCTGGGGACCCATGACAAATATTTTCAGTCTCCTGAGGGGGAAAAGGTGTTGTCGTGCCCTTTCTCGACTGTCTTGGTGTGTTTGGACCATGATAGTTCGTTGGTGATGTGGACACCAAGGAACTTGAAACTCTCGACCCGCTCCACTACAGACCCGTCGATGTTTATGGGGGCCTGTTCGGCCGCCTTTTCCTGTAGTCCACGATCAGCTCCTTTGTTTGGCTCACATTGAGGGAGAGGTTGTTGTCCTGGCACCACACTGCCAGGTCTCTGACCTCCTCCCTATAGGCTGTCTCATCGTTGTCGGTGATCAGGCCTACCACTGTTGTGTCGTCAGCAAACTTAATGGTGTTGGAGTCGTGTTTGGCAACACAGTCGTGGATGCACAGGGAGTATAGGAGGGGACTAAGCATGCACCCCTGAGGAACCCCAGTGTTGAGGATCAGCGTGGCAGATGTGTTGTTGCCTACCCTTACCACCTTGGGGTGGTCCGTCACGAAGTCCAGGATCCAGTTGCAGAGGGAAGTGTTTAGTCCCACTTAGTGATGAGCTTGGTGGGCACTATGTTGTTGAACGCTGAGCTGTAGTCAATGAACAGCATTCTCACATAGGTGTTCCTTTTGTCCAGGTGGGAAAGGGCAGTGTGGAGTGCGATTGAGATTGCGTCATCTGTGGATCTGTTTGGGCGGTATGCGAATTGGAGTGGGTCTAGGGTTTCCGGGATGATGGTGTTGATGTGAGCAGCCTTTCAAAGCACTTCATGGCTACAGACGTGACTGCTACAGGGCGGTATTCATTTAGGCAGGTTACCTTCGCTTTCTTGGGCACAGGGACTATGGTGGTCTGCTTGAAACATGTAGGTATTACAGACTCGGTCAGGGAGAGGTTGAAAATGTCAGTGAAGACACCTGCCAGTTGGTCCGCGCATGCTTTGAGTACACGTCCTGGTAATCCGTCCGGCCCCGCGCCTTTGTGAATGTTAATCTTTTTCAAGTCTTGCTCAGCATATCAGATTTTCTGCCGGAATCACTGGACCTTAACACCGGACCATCGCAACTAGCTAGCTGCAACCGAATGGCTGTTGTTGGCTAATATCCACTTCCCGACATACCAGTTAGCCTTGAGCTAGCCTCGAGCCAGGCCCATCTCCCGGCTATCTACCTCTCTGTCAACCGGACGGGACCTCCTAGTGTCGACACGGAGCCCCGCCGATCCATCACGTCTGGTCTGCCAACGTAATCGTCTGATGTGGTTTCAACAGGCTTCCCGTTGCGACGACCACGAAGATCCATCTGCTAGCCCCTGCCCGCTAGCACGCGCAATCAACAGCCGTGCCTCCTGCTCGCCTGTGCTTTAGCAGCCTACGATCTGCTCCCGGACTTACTTAGTGCTGTTCACTGGACCTTAT